AAGAAATTCTCATAATGCGCATGCGCACCAAAGTTAGGCACTACTGTCCCAGCATCATTCGCAAAAAATTCCTTGCTTCAGCGCTCTCCCAACGGCAGCAAAAGAATTTTCTCTTTTTTCGCTAATAATCAAAAACATGAAAAAACTGACAACTAGTGCCCATCCTAATGTCCAGTACTTCCTGTAGTTTTGGCACACAAAACGTCAAATCAGTAAATGATAGCTTCCCTCTCCAAATAACAGCCAAAACCCATCATTTTTATGGAAAAAACAGAATTTGAAGCTGTCCCGAGCGAAAACACCTGGCTAAAAGTACGCACTCTCATGCAGGCCTGCTATCGTTAATTTCCTTTTCAAAAAAATGAAATTATTTGCCAGAAATTTACTACATTTCTAAACCCGAAGCTGGAACGCGCCAAGCTTTCTAGTGCACCCATGTGTTTTTGCACCAAACTTGAAGAAATTAGGCCGTTAACCGTATGAGTGGTTGTTGCTTTACATCCATCTTGTGTACTCATTAGCCCAATTCATCGTATATTTTGCATAAAGAAAAATGAATAATTCCCGTTTAATGGCCATTTTTTGAAAATGACCAAACTGTTAAGTGGGCAATTTTCTGCCAAAACTTTTACCTGCGCGTAAGTGACAAACAAGTATGCCTGGGGGCCAAGTTTGGAATCTTTAAGTTGTACTTGGACAGGGAAAATCCCTTAATATTTTGACCTTCTAGCTTTTCTGGTTTCCGAGTTAGCAATTTTTCCGCCTAAACTTTTACGCGTTTGTATGTGAAAACCACGCATGTTTGGAAAATTTATTTGAATTCTTTAATCTGCACGTTGGTAGGGAGCATCCCCTTAAAATTTCAGCTTTCCATCTTGTCTGATTCCTTAAATCGCTTTTCCGCCAAAAAGTTTACATATTTTTTCGAGAGGTCTGTACATGAGACTCAAGCGTACGTGGATAATGGAGGAGGCACATATTCCCGATGTTTCAGCTTTCTAGCTTTTCTGTCTCTCGAGTTGAAAGTGGGTGACAAAAAGTGCGAACACACAGACACACTGCTTCTTATCAATATGCGTTTTCGCATTTGCTTCATTATGCAAGAACGCGTAAAAATTAACAAAATAATCATACCAATAAATCCTCAACGTGCCGAATTGTAAAAGCAGTTGGGAAAAGCCGAAGAAGGTATAGCAAGCGACGCGCAACATGCAGCTGTAAATGACCGTTGGGCTGCGTAAAAGTGGTCATCACCGTTTCGATATTCATTCCAAGTAAATGCGTTTCCAACTCTGGGAAGCACAATGCCTGAAAAAAACGCATTTAGAAAAACTATTCCTGTAACTTTATTAAGACGGGATCCCCACAATCACTGTCCGGGGCAGTCCTGATAATCTCAGTTAAAGTTAGCTGGAACAAACAAAAGTGCTTGTAACCATCCGCAAATACAACGGCCTTTATATGAGAAAGGACGCAGTGTGAATTAATGGTGCTTGTTTTTGGCTATGTTCCGCATCACTGCAGAATGATCATCCAGCAGTGATAATCTCATCATAGCCGTAACAGTCATGGTTTACAAAGGATACCAAGATCATCTCGACAATGGTGTGAGAAGCTGATGCAGGCCGCGGACGGCATTCTTTACGCAAAAGGGGGAAGGACCAGAAGGGAATCGAACCATTCACCTTTATATCAAGACGCAACATGTTAACCCACTATGCCAGCCTTCTGCTGTGATCCCACAACTACCTGAGAACACATCTACTATGTATCTGCCTTTAAGAGAGTACATACCCTCCTTTTTATGCGTTTTGCGCTGTGTAACAGCAGTACAAAACGCATAGTGTCACGGGGTTATTTGTCCCACATTTTGTCCCGCACTTTCAACTCGAGAACCACAAAAGCTAGGCGGCTGAAATTTTGGTATAGTGCTCTATTTTGTCCCGCACTTTCAACTCGGGAACCACAAAAGCTAGGCGGCTGAAATTTTGGTATAGTGCTCCCCGCCAGCGGGTGACGCAGCAAATTTAAATACAGCCTTCCTATATCAGCGGGTAACACGTACGGCCCCGTAAAAGTTTTTCGGGTGAAATCAGTATCTCGGGAACTACGGAAGCCAGAATTTTATGCGTATGCCCCTGACCGCATGCGACCCAGAAAGCTCAAATTAAACCTTCCTGTAACCGCGGGTAACAAATACGATCCAGTGAAAATTTTTGACGGGTAAATTATTATTTCTGGAACCAAGGGGTTTAGGAAAATGAAATTTTACAGTAATGACCCCCTGCCTACGCTCAACCTTGCCCATTCAAATTCTGCGTTTCCTCCTCTTGAGTATCACCTACGGCCTCGTGAAAATTTTGGCGGGTAAACTATTAACTCGGGAATCACGGAAAGATATTCACTCTTCAAGGTTTCGAATTCAGCTTTCATGCGCAGGTGCGTGAAATTTTTAACTATTTGCAAAGTTTTGAACTATTTTTGCATGGACTAAAGTACAAAGCAGTGAAAATCATTAAAAGGCAATCGTTCGATGGGCTGAATTGCACAAAACGCATGATCGCACCGGTTCGTCTAGTGCAATTTGTTATTTATTCCATCTACCTCTCCAAAGGCAGTAGCAGATATTTTTTATGGAGTCATTGCAAGATTTCGTAATAACGCTAGTGATGATACTGGAATGCATTTACGTATTAGTCACAGTTATTTTAATTCCGATAGTGAAAAAATAGTATATACATAATGCAAAAGTATAAATATAAATAATTACACTATTAAATTTAAATATAATATATATTAACACCCAATAGTATGAATAAAAATAAATTGAAAAATATTAATTTCCACTCCATAGAATGCTTTCCAGTGTATCCAAAAATATCTAAATTCCCATTATCTATAATCTTAATATTTCACTTCGCAGCCAATTCTAATGCACGGAAGGAATAAACCGTAACATACCATGCCTGCTCAGAATTTAACAGTGCCCAACAAACTATGGAAGATCTCAGCAAACTGTAATAGAACTCCAATGAAGTTCTGTGGTTTCGGACTTATGTAAGCGATGTTATCGAAAAATGTAAGCCAGAAAGAATGGTTAAGGAAGTCAAATGACAGAAAGGCAAAAAGCAATGGGCTGAGCCGATTAGTGAGCCAGGCGGGGTTAAATGAACACTGGGGAGATACAACTTATCATCAGTATTTCCATATAATAATACCCCACTGGACGGCTTCCTTATAGGAAATACATCGGATAGCCTATGAAAAAAAGAACGAAGACAGGGCCAGCTAAATCAGTGGCGAGAAAGAACGTGACAATTAAAACAAGAGTTGATCGAAGTATCAAAGTATTACCCCTCAAATCACAAAAAATTTACCTCTTTGAGTGCACTGTAAGCTGCAATCTGGATACATTCGTCTTCGTCAGTCAAACATTTCAGCAAGGAAGCGAAAATTTGCTCATACTGTGCAGCAAATGGATTATCAGCGGCGCCGACTATCTGCGAATTCTCACAGGATGCAATACAACAAGCTGCTAGTGCCCCTGAAATACCGAATAAAAAATATACTGGGATACCAAAACGTCCGTAACATTCAAAAAATAGCCCTCAGTGCCGATGTTCTACAGCTGGTGGCAAATGCAGTATATATACATAAATTCATGAAGTAACGCATCGAAAACGAAGGTGATGCAAAGTGCTGGTATGTCGTAGTCAGACTGGTGATAGATGGTGATGGTTTGAAAGAAGTTAAAAGACAAGTCTATCTTGGCCAGGAAATAAATAAGCCACAATTTTTCTAGAAGACCGCATGCTTAGAATAAAGCTGACTGCAGCAAAATTTCATAAAATATCGTCAATATTTTTAAAATTTCGACTCGGAAGGGGCATGTTTCCATCTTCTGTACTACTCAGTTTAAGTCAGTTATGTATGGATACGAACGTGGTCACCCGTGAAAGAAGTGAGAACCGCCTGTGATAGAGGATGCAAAAAGGGTGGTCTCTTCGTCGACTATAGAGGGAATAAGGTTCTTCAAGTCCAACCTAAACGAAACGGGAAGAGAGCCTCAAAACTTTAGCTTTCTAGCCTTCCTGGCTTCCGGGTTAGCGATTTTCCCGCCAAAACCTTGAGGCGTTCGTACGCGGAGCCTAGATGTGCCTGAGGGTCCCTGATTGGCCTCATGCAAGTCGGTGTCGACGCACTGAATCCCATCTCCCAGGTAAATGCGAAAAACATTAAGAATTATAAAATCTGGAATAACTCAAAAACGTATATAAAGCGCTGAGAGCTATTCTGCAGTGAATCTTAAACCGCTGGGTTCTCAGCGTTAGAAAACCGCGCCAGCCGGCCCACTGCTCAAAAAAAGCAGATGGACATGGCACAGACTTCCAACAATATCACCTAACTTCTTCGGAGAAAAAATGCAATGTATTTAAGGAAACGTACGTATTGTTGATTGCCGTAAAATGGAGACACGTGAAGTGATTTGAGGGCGTAGCGTAACGCCCAGTGATCGCCCTGATGTCTTGTAATTTGTGATGGCCGAAAGTTCTTTTTCGCTGGCATTACAGATTGACAGAAGTTGCGTAGAAAAATCTTTTTCTGGGCTTGAATTGAACGAAAACTGCACTGGCACTGGTTGAATGGTAGCAATAAAAGCAAAAGCATCCTGAAAAATACGTTAAAATTTGAACCCTCTAAATATTTCCAGCGTGTTAACACTTCGTGAACAGCAACCAATCAATAACGTATTCAACCAAGTTTTTTCAGGTAAAAAGCAAATTTTAAGGGTTTTGAGTGTACCTGAAA